CCCCAAAACCCCAAAACCCCAAAACCCCAAAACCCCAAAACCCCAAAACCCCAGAGCATATAAAATATAGAAAAGTCATAATAAAATTAAATAAGCTCAAATATGTCAAGGTAACACCGAAGGGAACCTTAATGACTAATTTCGAATCTTGAGTGCTTGGAACATATGAAGGGGACTCACTGATTACTATAGCTTGATAGCATTGAGGGTCTCAACTTTTCCGTATATTTAAGCCTTAGAATCTATGAATTTATATCTGAATTTTTCAGAATTTTTTTCTTCGAAAAGCTGTCAGCTTTCTAGACCAGCCTAGGGTCTAAGTTGCAGTTACTGTCTGTACTCCTCATAAGTATTGCTCTGGATAAGCATGTTCTAACAGGGGTTTATTCCTTAAATTTTCCATTGGAAGTCCTTTATATCTGAAAATTTCAAACTGAATTATAGACTCAATGTCGAAAGAGTTTCCCGAAGAAATTCTTTGACCAAGAAAGAAAGCAACATGCAGTCTAGGGACAAGGAATTCCTCTCCGTTGGAGGAGAGCCTAGCGATTCTGAAAGAAGAAGGATGTCCTTCAGAGCATCCGTCAGCTCAACTATGCGATCAGGGAAGCGCTCTCCTGCTCGAAAGAGGGGACATGTCTTCAAGACTGCTGATAAGCTCAAGTTCATTGAAAGCAAGGGTGCTTTCAGAGACTTACTTGGGCAGAACAAGATCTTGAATGATAAGCTACAAGAGAAGATCAACTACTACTACACTCCTTACCAGAGGAAAAACATGAACACACATAACACCTTGATGAGGTTCGGCACTATAACCGATCTCGGCCAGGAGGTCGAAGAGGACAATAAAGGCCAGGATCAGAACTACAGAAATTTTGACAAACGGGCCAAAAGGATGTGGAAGAACATTGTCGAGTACGTCACGAGTAAAGACACAGAGCGGACTCGTCAATTTTTAAGAAATATCAACCCAGAGTTGTATACCAAACTGAAAAATTTCGGTCAACAGTACTACATCAGGGAGTTCAAGGAGGATGCAAGGCGAGAAAGCTTCCCGGATATTGAGAATCCCCATGTCCTTGGTTCTAAGAAGGAGGACATATTACTCAAGTCTGAACACACAGATAATGGGATTAAGGTCCTGAAGAACCAGATTGATAGTAAAATATTAACGTCTGGGTTTACTTACTGCAGTTCGAAGTCTATTTCAAAGTCTCGTTCGAAGCCTAATCTCAGGAAGAAATCTGACATTGTAACTCCTCTAGTCATGCTTTTCAGAGGAAATCAAGAGATCAAAAAGAAGAAGCGGTTTTATAGGAACAGGAGTCAGAACGAGATTAAGGAATTGACCACTAAGGAAGGAAAGAGAGAGCTCTCTTCCCTTTTCACCGAATCTCCACAAGCATTTACTATTTCGATGAATCCAGAGACTAAGAAGTTGGAATATGAAGATTCTCTGACTCAGAACCATAAGCTCACTATTCATTCTGGTAACAAAACATGAGCTAGATCAAAGTTTTTCAATAAGGAACTGTACAAATCAGGTCGTAAGAAATTCAAATCTCACATCCACACACCAAACAAGGTTTCAAATATTCCAAAGCCGAAACTAAAGTAAGCATTTAAAGATGTTCTAGAAATTTGATCCCAATTTTTGAATTCTAGCTCGACTAAACTGGATCCATTGAGGCATTATCCTTCCAAGTGACCCTTGTGGTCTATAGCTAGCTTAGAACGGATCCAGTGTTTATTAACCATTGCAGATTTTTGGGAGAATGGCTCTGAAGTCATTCCTAAAATTTCACAAATTTTGCTTATTAAAAGCCAATTGATGCACAGCAAGAGATTTTCTTGATAAATTATCAAATTTGCTCTGTTCTTGTTGCTAGTAGTCTCTACTATCTGAGAACTGAGTGAGGTTTAGACATACAGCTTGCAACCTCTCCTTGGGAGGCTGAATTTAGAGCTAAGTTTACTCTACCTTCATTAGAATCTTTAAAGATGCATTCTTGAAGCTGTTGGGACCCTTCTTAGACATAGATTTATCTTCTGGCTGCTGGGTTCCTTTTCATAAGCATCTTACTGAAGGAATAGCTTTATTTTTATAAGAATATCAAACCCGTTTCTTAGGCTCATTTAGCTGATAACTTGCTAACTGAAAATTTGTGAAGAATAATCTAATTTTCCTTCCTGAACTTTAAGCTCTGCTCTCAGATTGATACTTTTAGAAACCGTTTATACTGATGAATATAGGGTTAAAACAAGTGATTCTACTAAGCCAACTATTAATAACTATAAAGTGAACTGCAGGGTGCCTCGTGCTCAGAGGGTAAGCTTCAGTTAACTCCTAGTCAATCAAGCGTGGTAACAAAAAGCCTCGTAAAACCTCAAAACCGCTTCTAAAAATCTGTAATGTATCAGACTCTTGATCTCAGAATAGCTCAGCTTCAATAAGTTCATACTCTGAGCTGTAGCATCTAAGCTTGCTTTGATAATCTTTATTATAGGTTTCTAGGTGTCCAATTACGCTCTAAAACCAAAACTTGGCAATTCTAGCAGAACTCAAGGGAGAAGTCTGAGCCTCTGGCTCATGATGAGCCAGAGGCAGGCTGATAGCTTAGACTCCTCCTCTGCATTATATTAGCATTGCGAAGCTTTGGTTCTGGCACGTAATTGGGACTTTAGGTTTCAAACCCTCATTTTCAACGCCTGGAAATCAATTGGGGTTTTGGGGTTTTGGGGTTTTGGGGTTTTGGGGTTTTGGGGTTTTGGGG